CTTACTAACCGCTGAGAGTCTATTCCCCCGTGCGTACTGCACGAACGTACCCTAGGTACTCCGGGTATACCGAAACTTACTAATGGTTACTAATCTTTAATAGCCGTACTCTACCTCGCCTACGCCCCACTAACGCAGTAGTACGCCTACACTACTCCCTAACCTAAATCAGAACCCTAACTCCGAACCCACCCTGAATCCTAACCCTAAACCATATCAACTAGTGACCAGGTACGTTCTGGATACCGGAACCTACAGGTACGTTTCGCTCATACCCTGGAGACATAGACCTATGAGCCTTACTAACGTGGTTTTCCATTTCACATCTTCTTGCCTCAGACTCACAGTCATCTCTTGAAAGCTAACAGCCACAGCGACGCTAATAACATCTCGCTCGAATCTCCAGCATACGCTGGAATTATCAGCATCCGCCTGGCAACTAACAGCACACGTCTGTAGCTTACAGAATCCGCCCTGCTATATTAACTTACTCCTACGTCTGCCGTCCTAGCATCTCTATAGTCTGCTTGCAAAAGTATCGGTTGTCTAGGAGCTCGCCGCTTCGTCGGAAATCCTCCTAGCATCTCTTCCCACTCAGGCTTCATATATGCCCTTACGTACATACCTGAGTCTCCCCTGTAGCTAAACGACCCTGTGTTGAAGCGTCCTTTTTGTAGTGTACTGTAAGATCATTGGGTTTCTGGCCGGAGACGTCGGTATGTCGGCACCTACGCTACAACTAAACTTTTCTCACCAGCTGCCTGCCGTGGTACGGCTGATGTGCTATGTACTGTAATCTAACCATTCTATCGAATTATTCGAGCGCGCACTTCATTTTAACGAAACGAATGCCTCCTAATTTCAATGATCATCCTTATCGAGTTATATATCGAGTTTACTGTTTCTTCGAGATCATTTTGATTATTTTTGCCTTTACTCTGCCACATGGAGTTTATATAGTTAGAGTATAGGAATTTATCGTGTCGAAGCATGTGAAAACGATTCCAGACAAGCGCGTCGTTATTTACGAAAATATCTGTAAACGAATCATTCAACGTAAACTAAACGTTCTTTTCGCAAAAACCGGGAATTTATATATTGGATATGCGGGAATAACGTTCCATCAAGTAGACAACCATCTGTCTAATACCATTATTTATCACATACTGTTGATTTACTGATGAACTATAAATCACTGAACAAATTAGCGCTTTGAACAGACGCGACCCTGACACATGTATATAATCACTGCAGATTCAGCGCTGCAGTTCAGCACCTATGACGGCAGTTGCTGAACATCCTATAGTTATAGCACGTTAACAACGCATGACTCGCCATAGTGATGTTTCACAGAGAGTTGCCAATGTCGCAGCTGCTCTCACGCTCCACATCTGATCTATAGTTCTTCAAGCCTAACAAATCATATAATTTAGAAAATATTTTACATGATTTTTGTATTATAACTCCGACTGGTCTATCATATTGCGCGAGTGTATCTCAGGGCGATGTACAGGATTGTCCCTACCAGGGGGGGGCTTAACCGTAACCCAAACTTGGGCACCCGAAGGGGGTCTGGGGGGCCTTCCGCCCAGAATTTTTTATAAATTAGACCCCCTTAGATGCGTTTTCCTGCCGCGCTCCAGGCGGATCGGAATTAATTCATTATTAATTTTCATTAATAAAGATTTACATATTTCATTAATTATTTAGTATCATGCAACCATGCAACTATGCTACAATGCATACGACGTCGACATCATCGTTAAAATACAAGGTGTCAACCCTCGACACTTATATAAATGAAGACTGTGTTTGCTCCACTTATATAGTCCGTGTTTATTTCCCTGACGTGGTATGTATTTGTTCACACAGACGTGCATGATCTGCCTGAACGCGGGTCTGTTTGCCCTCGTCATGACACTCATTGCCACGCCGCACGGGGGCGCCACTATGTACGCCGTGTGGATTAGCGCCATCTACCTGGTGTTTTCGGGACTATTCATCCTCATACCGACAGCGGTCAGTCGCTGCTTCGGCCAAAAATATTTCGCCATCAACTTCGGATTGGTTTTCAGCGCAAACGTGAGTATCACAGAAAATAATATACTAGATGGTCATGTACGGTAAGAATGAATGGGAGGGTGGCGCCATCACGCGGGGCACGTCATCGATGTAGCACTACATTATCTATAATTCGTAGTAGATTAGACTGGTTTCACTTAATCTCTTCGTTTTCTCTTTCTCTCTGGCAGGCAATAACCACACCAATAGGGGCGCTCCTGGCATCTCTACTCCTAGATCCCTTGGGTTGGTTCGGAATGTTCAGTCTAGTGTCGGCATGTGTGCTTGCAGGTAACTGCTTACTAATTAGATGGACATATATAGTGTCAGTATGTGTGTTCAGCTTATAGGTAAAATATAGATTTTTCAACTAGATGAAAGTGTCTAGCGTCTGTATTTATACAATATATGCTGTCCCATATCCCACTACATGTATGCTACCTGCTCAGGTATGGCCGTAATTCTCGACTCACTTAGCCAGCCTACGCTTGTGGTTTTGCTACGAGAGTCTTTTTCGTATCTAATGACAGCTAGCCTCTCTGTATTCCTTCATCGCTCGCTTCACTTCTCCTCCTCTTTTTCCAGTGCTTTGTCCCTTTCTCTCTCTTCTCGCTCTCATTCTCCCCCTCTCTCTACCTTTCTCCCACTCTCTCTTTCCCTTTCTTATCTCACTCTCCCTCTCCCTCCCGTCTCTCTAGCTCTCACTCTCCCTTCCTCTTTCTTTCTCTTGCAGCAATGGCGTTTACGTTTACATTCAATGGAAAGCGAGCTGATGGGAGACCGGTGTGACGTCATTAAACGCCCGCGCCACGTCGTGAGTGTCATGGCGACTCATCATGAAAAACGATTCGGCACGTGTAGAAACGGCGAGGCGTTGAAATCCAGGCACCCGCATATACCATTGCCAATATCGCGCGCGTTACAGCTGACTAGAGGTATACTCGTAAATCTACTCTGTAAATGTTTGACTAGTAAATTGCAATCTCCGGGAACAACAATAAGACAATAAATTTCGAGTGCCGATTGCAAAGGTCCAATGATCGCGCGAAGTACCCCCATGCCCGATGCCCTAATATCCCCTATATCATATCCGATAACTATATATACTATATATACTATATATACGAAATAACGACGCCCTCTTTGGGAATTGTTGCTAGAATGGTTAAGTTCACCCAATGTAGTCGCGTTTTTCACGGGTGCACGCCAAATTGTCGACTTTGCGGCAGGGTCGTAGCTACCATTAGGCAATAGGAGGCAAATGCCTCCTACAAAATTTCTCAAAAAAATTAAGCGGGCCCCATACCCCACGCCCTATTGGCTTGCTTCACTCCTTGTTCTTTAACTTACAACATTTGCCTCCTACAAAATTTACCTCTGGCTATGGCCCTGCTTTGCGGCACTTCCTTGCTAAACATTGTCCGGCTATAGAACGGCTATAGAACGAAATATTACACCAATTATTAGCTTGAGCTGGCTGACAATTACGCCGAACGAATAGTTTAATTGTGTTATCTATTATATGTGAAAGGGTGCTCACTTACCGAGTAAGACGCATCATTGATCACAAAGAAATCGCCTTCTATAATTGATATTTACAAGTAACCCTGTATACGCCGGACCGCGTAATGCGCCATTGTCGGAGACAAGATTGCGGCTATGTGCGCATGCGCAGCTAAGCAACTTCACTCCGCTCGCTGTGGCCAGCCAATACTCCGCAGTAGATCCACTCCGCGCAATATGACTAGACCACAGTCGGAGATTATAATACAAAAAATACATGTAAAATATCTTCTAAATGATATGATTTGTTAGCTTGATCATGAAGAACTAGAACCATCAGATGTGGCGCTTGAGAGCAAGCTGCGACATAGCAACCTCGTGAAACTCGCTACGCAGTCATGGTTGTATATAGCACTGTCGGCGATGCCCACAAGGTGCTGAACTACACGCTGAATCTCATTAATTTTACATGTGTCGGGTCGCGTCTGTTGAGAGCGCTAATTTGTTAGTGAGTTTTATTCATCAGTAAATACAACATATGTGAGAATATGGTATTGACGATGGTTGTCTCTTGATGGAACCTTATTCCCGCATATTCCATATATAAATTCCGCGCGTTATTTCGCGAAAGAAACGTTTAGTTTACGTTGAATAATTCGTTTACATATTTTCGTAAATAAACGACGCGCTTTGTCCCTGGAATCGTTTTCACATGCTCGTACACGATAACATTCCTATACTTCTACTATATATACTCTTATACTCCACCTATGCTGCACAGTAAAGCCAAAATAAACTCAAAATGATCTTCAATGAAACAGTAAACTCGATATTTAACTCGCATATAGGATGATCATTGAATTAGGAGGCGTTCGTTTCGTTAAAATCGTAAGTGCGCTGCTGGAATAATTCGATGAATGGTTAATTACAGTACACACCCATCAGCCGTTGCCACGGCGGCAGCTGGTGGAAAGTTCATGTGCGTCTGGCCGCCTACAACGTCCTCCCAAACCCCAATATCCTTCCAGTACACTACAACAAAGCGACGCTTCAACACAGGGTCGTTTAGTACAGGTCGAGACTGTATGTAGCGTAAGGGACAATATACTGAGAACTGTGGAAAGAAGATGCTAGGACTTTCAGATGGAAGCGGCGAGCTCCTAGGACAACATGTAGACGTACGCTGTTAGTTACAGGCGGATTCTGTTAGCTACAGACGTGTGCTGTTAGTTCCAGGCGGATGCTGATAATCCCAGGCGTATGCTGGGAGATCGAGAGAGATGTTATTAGCTCCTGTGCTGTTAGCTTCAAAGAGATGCTGTGAGCTCAGGCAAGAAGATGTCGACATGGAAAAACCACGTTAGTAAGGCAATGCTCTATTGTTAGAAATTTACAATCGCGTTTGTTATTTGGCGGCGCGTGGCATCGGCTGTCATTCAATCCGCTCTCATAATACAGCAAAACTATCAGCACGACAGGTTGACATTCGGGGCGAATGTTTCCTCACATGGAAGCATGCATTGCCGTGAATCCATGCCACTAGTCGCTCTATCACGTTGCACTAATAAAATATCAGTAACTACTAACGGTCTAACCGGCTGTTGGAAACGTCATAAATAGTTATCATAACAATAAAATGTCATAACATTTGAAGTATAGTGTCGTGCAAACTATTGATGAAATTTATTATTACTTAATTAAAAAAAAAAAACAACCTAAATTTAGTAAATTATGGCTATAGTATTTAGGTGGCCAGCATATACAGCAGATATATATGAGAGTCATCGAGATAGATATAGGGGACAGAGGCTAGACAAGAGTGATTAAGAGAGACATAGAGAGAGAAAGAGTGGGAGCGATGCATAGAGAGGGCGAGCGAGAGAGCGGGAGAGAGGAAAAGCGAGAGCGAGAGAGAAAGAGTTGGGGAGAGCGCGCGCGAGAGATAGAAAATGGAGAGAGAGAGGGGGAGGGGTGAGAGAGAGAGAGCGAGAATGGGGGAGAGACTACTCGATTCGCTAGCGTTTGGTGGCTATGTAGACACTACAGTGAAATAACAGCATACACACGAGGGTACCAATTAGTGGATCCTTAATGGTACCTCCATGCTGAAACATAGCAATCATTTACAGAACATGCCCCCACCCCACCAATTACGTTAACGTTGCATGAAGGGTGCAGCGTGGACAATATAGGCGACGTCAGGTATAGTTAATGTGGTGTCAAGAGGGAGAAGAGAGAGAGGGGAGGAGAGAGAGAAAGAGACAGGGGGGATGGGGAGAAATAAAGTAAGAAAGCGAGAGCGTGGGAAGATGAGAGAGTAGAGCGCATATCTCTACGACCACCTCTTGCTCTCCCGCAAGCAGCAAAAAAATGGCATGTTCTTATTTCTTTTATATTAAATGTTGCTGATGGTTACTCGGTAATGATATGCGTGCAGAATATTCGTCTGGAACACTGGGAGGGCTCATGCCCAGCACATTCCCTCAAGGCAGCCTAGCATCTCGCCTCAAGGCAATACCAGTTAGTTTATATAAGTTATTAAAGCATATAAGTTATACAGCCTATTATGCGTATACAGCGTGTACGTGCGTGTACCTGCGTGTACCGGTGTACGGTGGTGTACCCGCGTGTACGTGCGTGTACCCGCGTGTATCTCCGGTGCTACCGCGGTGTACCCGCGTGTACGTGCGATGTACTGCGTGTACGTGGCGTGTACCTCGCGTGTACTGTGCGTGTACCCGTGTACGTGCGTTGTATCCGCTGTGTTACGTGTGTGTACCTCGCGTGTAACGCGTGCAACGTGCGTGGTACTTGCGTATACTGGCGTGCACGTGGCGTGTACCTGGTGTACGTGCGTGTACTGCGGTCTACAGTGCGTGTACCGCGTGTTACGTGTGCTGTTACCCGCCGTGTACGGGCGCGTCCCGATGTACGTTGCGGTGCACGTTGCGTGATTTATTTTTTTCGCCGCGGTGTATCGTGCTGTTACCCGCGTTGTACGTGCGTGTATCTGCTGTGTACGTGCGGGTCCTTTTCCTTCTCGCTGCTGTACTGCGTGTACGTGCGTGTACCCCGCGTGCACGTCGCGCTGTATCTCCCGTTATTTT